AGGGCGGCCGCTGCGGCGGGGCCGGGCTCGGGCCGAGCGCCGGGGCCATGGCGCTGCGCGCCCGGGCGCTGTACGACTTCAGGTCGGAGAACCCGGGCGAGATCTCGCTCCGCGAGCACGAGGTGCTGAGCCTGTGCAGCGAGCAGGACATCGAGGGCTGGCTGGAGGGCGTCAACAGCCGCGGCGACCGCGGCCTCTTCCCGGCCTCCTACGTGCAGGTGATCCGCGCGCCCGAGCCCGGCCCGCCCGGCCACAGCGCCCCGGCGCGCTACGCCAACGTGCCGCCCGGGGGCTTCGAGCCGCCGCCCGCCCCCGCCTCCGCCTCCCCGCCGCTGGCCCTCGGCCTCCCGTACGGCGGCGGCTACCAGGCCAGCCAGGGCAGCGACGACGACTGGGACGACGAGTGGGACGACAGCTCGGCCACCGTGAGCCGCAACCTCAACCGCTTTTCCACCTTCGTCAAGTCTGGCGGGGAGGCGTTCGTGCTGGGCGAGGCGTCGGGCTTTGTGAAGGACGGGGACAAGCTGTGCGCGGTGCTGGGACCCTATGGCCCCGAGTGGCAGGAGAACCCCTACCCGTTCCAGTGCACCATCGACGACCCCACCAAGCAGACCAAGTTCAAGGGCATGAAGAGCTACATCTCCTACAAGCTGGTGCCCACGCACACGCAGGTGCCTGTGCACCGGCGCTACAAGCACTTCGACTGGCTGTATGCGCGCCTGGCCGAGAAGTTCCCCGTCATCTCAGTGCCACACCTGCCGAGAAGCAGGCCATGGGCCGCTTCGAGGAGGACTTCATCTCCAAGCGCAGGAAGGGCCTGATCTGGTGGATGAACCACATGGCCAGCCACCCGGTGCTGGCCCAGTGCGACGTTTTCCAGCATTTCCTGACCTGCCCCAGCAGCACGGACGAGAAGGCCTGGAAACAGGGCAAGAGGAAGGCCGAGAAGGACGAGATGGTGGGGGCCAACTTTTTCCTGACCCTGAGCACCCCGCCTGCTGCCGCCCTGGATTTGCAGGAGGTGGAGAGCAAGATCGACGGCTTCAAGTGCTTCACCAAGAAGATGGATGATAGTGCCCTGCAGCTCAACCACACAGCCAACGAGTTTGCACGCAAGCAGGTAACAGGCTTCAAGAAGGAGTACCAGAAGGTGGGCCAGTCCTTCCGTGGCCTGAGCCAAGCCTTTGAGCTGGACCAGCAGGCCTTCTCTGTGGGCCTGAACCAGGCTATCGCTTTCACCGGAGATGCCTACGATGCCATCGGCGAGCTCTTCGCGGAGCAGCCCAGGCAGGACCTGGATCCGGTCATGGACCTATTAGCGCTCTATCAGGGCCACCTGGCCAACTTCCCGGACATCATCCAAGTTCAGAAAGGAGCTCTTACCAAAGTAAAGGAGAGTAGGCGGCATGTGGAAGAGGGGAAGATGGAGGCCCAGAAGGCTGATGGCATCCAAGACCGCTGCAACACGATTTCCTTTGCTACTTTGGCTGAAATTCACCATTTCCATCAAATTCGAGTAAGAGACTTTAAGTCACAGATGCAGCATTTCTTACAACAGCAAATAATATTTTTCCAAAAAGTAACACAGAAGTTGGAAGAAGCTCTTCACAAATATGATAGTGTTTAATATCTGGACATTGGATTGTGGACTCTTTTCAGTTCAAGGATAATTTCTACAGCAGAGTAAAAACTGCTATCAAAGAACTATTGCCAACTATCAGTGGTGGTACAAGGATGGTTTTGTGTTCAACTGAAGCCCAGCTGAATATATAATTATGTAGAAGAGAAACAGTTAATATGGTTATATAATAGAAACAGTACCACACATTGTAACTAAATTATACTATGTATGCCTACACTACCATTGTAACTTTTGGAATAATGATTATACTATTTGCCTTATTGCTTTTTGAAGTATGGGTATTTTAGTGCATACTTTGTAGACCTCAAAGCCCACAAAGGGTCTCAAAGAAGCTGGCTGGATAACAGCCTGCTGTGGATGCCTTCTTACTCTCCTAGATTGGGATTACCTAAATTCAACCTATTCTCTGTTTACAAACTCCAACTAGAGCAGCTATGCGACTTTGTGCCTTTAGACTCTTGGGTTTTCCTTTCTGCTCCTGCCCCCCTCTTAAGTAAGCCCCACATTTTCTGGTCAGAAGAGTGAAAGGCCAGTGCATTTGATGACGCACTGACGATAGCCTGCTGTTGCTGGGGTGGGGGTCGCAGGAGGCTCGGTCTCCATCAGCTTGCACAGCGGGCGTCATCTCCTGGTAAGACGCTGGTGAAGGGAGAAGAGCGAAGCTCACTTGTCCTTGGATGTGAAGCGTGCTGGGGAAGAGACGGTGCGCCCTGTCCTAGATGCGCCAGTAGTGTAGCCTCTGCACACGGGAGTCCTAAGGCAAGGTGCGAAGAGCAGCAGACAACAACAACACACGCTCTATTTTAGTTCTTAGGAAGATTTTCTTTTCTTTCTGCTTGAAGATTTTCTTTTAATACTCAGTTTTTGTTTGTTTGTTTGTTTGTTTTTAAATGGATCTACACTGTTAACTGATTGAGACTCCACTGTGATTCAGTCGTTTACGTAATCAAAAACTTTTCAGGGATGTCTGTAAATTTCAGTGTTATACGTGATAAAAAATAGTGTTGGTTGATCTAAGGAGGGACCAGAAATGATTTCTACTATTCCAATACTGAAGGAAAAATTATTGATTTATACTGTATTTAAAAAAATATTGATAAGCCCACCCCAAGGCCATTTAACCTTAAAAATTATTTTAAATATATTCTTTTATTATTATAAGGGAAATACACATGGCTGGAAAATACCAAAAAGATTCAAAAGCAGCTTCCTTTAAAAAAGCACAAAGAGGTTCTGATTTGAAATGCTGAAATCCTAATGTTTTTATAGTTGCTGAGCTAAATAATGTGATTCTTGAGTTTACGGATTTCAGAACTGTCGCTGAAAGGTTAAAGTACCTACTGTTTTTATGAAGTCGAACTTAACACTGCCTCAGAAACTCATGGGTACTAAAATGGTAACACAGAAGTAAAGAGGTCAGTTTGAAGTAGTGGTGAGTCACAGGAGTTACAGAAAAGGGTCATTTTGCAGAAGGTCATAAGAAAAGGTTATGGGAGTAATTACTCACTGGCACAATTACTCTTTCAAAAGTAATCTCATATAGGTTGAATTTTAAGATCAAATTATCATAATTTTGATCTTGGGTCAAAACTTGGTACCTTAGAGTATGTCAAGCCAGATTGAATACCATGTGGCTTTGTCTCTATCACAGATATACAGCTATCTCTAAATACATTGTTCTCTAAAAAGTAACCCTCTTGTTGATTGCAAAGTGCTGTTTATAAACAAAGCCCGTATATATGAAATACTAATTTTATTGCGGAAGTTTGGAGGTTATAAGTATGGCATTTAAGTTTGAATCTGTATTGGACAAACAAGCAGTATGCTTTTCCAATTAATTTTAAAGTCACATTTATTTGCCTTTTTATTTTGATAATGTTTGATTTTTTTTCTTTTTAAAGTAAAATCACTAAGCTTGTGCAATGGTTGCGTGGAAGTTATCTGAGGCGTCTCGTGTGACTGTGCTTCAGCTAGGGTGGACGTAGCTTAAATTATAAAAACTAAAGATTCAAGAGCAAAGAAGTGCTGCCCACATCTAAGAGAACATAGAGTCTTCATAACTGATTAACATTATGCCCCTGATTCGTACGGGGTTTAAATTAATTCTTTGGGCTAGAATACCAGAAATATAAGTGTCCATTTTCATCTAAGATCTTTATTCTCTAACGTTCTTGGTCCTGTTGAAACATTTCAGTATATAAAAAAATACTGCAATGTTACTATCCAAGAGAAAAGCCATTATCATGTGTATACTGGTCATCATGATCAGTGTGGTACAGTTTTTAAAAAAATAAACTATCATGCCCTTCAAAAAAAAAAAAAAGAAAATAGAAATTTCATTCAATCAAGGGAGCCTGCATGAGCCATGCTGAGTTGCAAAGGAGGGGAGAGACCCAGCCCCGACCTCTCCACAATCATGGGAGCCTCTGTCCAGAAAAATTCAGGTGCCTGGTCCATCTCCTTAACCCACACAATGACCAGCTAGTGTAGGAAGTATCTGAGACATGGCAATGAGCCCATCCAGAGGAATCCAGGATAAACCCATTTGAATAAGGGGAAAAACTTTGCATACAAAGTCCCAATTTATGATTGTTTATTTTATATGACTATAGACTTTTCTTCTATGGTCTAAAGTACAAAAATAATATTACCAGTTTTTGAACTTGTAAATATTGCTTGATGTCATAATTATTGATAACAGTACTACTGTAGCTAGAATGACAAATCTGTTTTAATCAGTTATTCTCTCTTGTGCAACAACATTGGAAAGCTCAGAAGTAATGACCTCACTATAGCCTATTCCAAAAATTTAGGTAGAAGGCCAAACAGAAATAAGCATTTCATGCTCAACTAGTTGGCAAGGTATGATCTTGGGACAGAAACAAACAAACAAAAATCCAATACACAGAAGATATCCCTGAAGAAAAGACTTTTCCTAGGGAGACCTGGATACTAGTGATAGAGCTTCCTACTACCAAAACTCACAAGGATCATCACAGAAAACAAAATGATAAAAAAATTGAAATAGAAAATGTTAAGATGAGGGCTGGGGAGATGGCTCAGTAGAATAAGCACTTGCCTGGCAAGCGCAAGGGCCTGTGTTTAATCCCCGGTTCTAAAAAAAAAGAAAAGAAAAAAGAAAATATTAAGATGAAACAAAATGAAATCTCAGACTTCCAGTGATTCAGAACAAGTCCAAGAGACATCAATGTAAGAAGAATTTGGAAACCATACACCCGAAATTTCTGAAATGATAGCAACTGAAGTAAAGAAACAATTCCAGGGGGCTATAGAAGAAATCAAGTCAGAAATAATCTCTCAGGTAAAAAAAGAAATGAAAACCACAATGAAAGAATTGCTCAGCATATCTAAAGCAGACATAGGCAAAAAAAATACAGGAGCATAAGAAAATGATGGAAACTATGAATGAACAATATAGGAAAGAATTAGAATGCATGAAACAGATTCAAAGAGATGTGAATTTAATCCAGTAAATTAAAAATTCCTTTGAAACCTGCCAAAATTAGTTGAATGAAACTGAAGATAGACATTCAGACTTTGAAGACAGGGTTGCAGCTAGAGATTATAAAAAGAAACATCTCTTCAAAATAAAAAGGAATCAAAAAATAAAAATTCAACAGATACAATGTGATGCACAGAAAAAGAAAATATGACTCATTGGTGTCAACAAAAAAGCAGGAGTCAACACAAATGACATAAAAAAGAAAATTTACAAGGCCAGGGGTATACACAGTTCAGTGCACAAGTACCTGCTTGGCAAACACAAGGTCTTGAGTTCCACTCCTGGTACACACACACACACACACACACACACACACACACACACAATTTACAGAAGTAATAACAGAAAATTTCCCAAATATGTGAAAAGAACCTGATATACAATTAACTGAGGCATGTAGAATTCCACTTAGGCATAGCAAAAATAAATCTATACCAAGATATATATTAATCAAGACCCCAGATTTTCACCAAAAGAACAGCATAGTAAAAGCTGTTAGAGAAAAGAAACAGACCACCTGTAGCAGAAAACCCATCAGAATCATGGGAACTTCTCAACACAAACAATCAAATCAAAAAGATCTTGGAGTGAACTATTTCAAGTCCTGAGAGAAAACAACTTCCAACACAAATGTTGTACCTTAAAAACTACCTTTTTAAAAATGCATTTGGCTGGTTCCACTACGCAGCTCAGACTCACAGTGATCCTTCTGTCTTCAGCCTCCTCAGCACTGAGATTACATGTGTATGCCGCTATGCCCGGACTCTGTGGCCAGCTCAGCCTGCCCTAGGGTTAGGACTGGTGTGGCATGTGGCACTGGGGATCAAACCACAGTCCCTGCACTTGCCTAAGCAGGCATTTTAGTCCACTGAGCTATCTTGCCAGCCCCTAAAACTATCTTTCAAAATTAATTGAGAAATTAAGTGCTTTCATGACAAAGAATAACTGAAAAAAATTATGACTATCAAACCAATCCTATAAAGAGTACTGAAAGACATACTAGAAAGATAAAAATGACATCATTCAAAGAAAAATATCAGGAAAAAATCCCCACCAACCAGGGCAAGTAATTAAACAGAGGGGAAAAGTAGGGAACCAGAAGCAGGAAAATAACATGTCAAAGATAAGCCATTATGTATCAGGTAGAACTATTAGCATAAATGTAAACATAAGTGGATTAAGAAATGAAATCTGACAGTATGCTGTCTATAAGAAAAAAAGGAAATCCATAGATTGAAAGTCACAGGATAGAAAACAATACTCCATGCAACAAGAACCAAGAAAAAAGGAAGGGCAGCTATTTTGTTTTAAGACAATGTGAACTTCAAACGAAGAATGATCAAAAGAGATTAAGAAGGTCACTACATACAAGTTTTGCAAAAACTTCAAAAAAGATAATCATAAGCATATATGCATCAAATATGGGAGCACCCAACTAAAGCACAATTGTAGTGGGGCACCTTAACACCCCACTGTTACAAAGACAAAGATCAACTGGACAAAATAGCAAAGAAATAACAGAACTAAACCAAACTTGTGAACAAACTGACTTAGTAGACCTTTACAGAGTGTGCCACCAAATGACATCAGAATATGCATTCTTTTCAGCTGCATATATTCTAGTCTATCAAATATGCTTAAGAAATTGGAAAGGAAATGACATTATTACATGCATATTGCCTAAACATAGTGCAATGAAATTGGAAATGACTGACAAAAGATACTGCTAAAACTCAATAAACATGGAAATTACATTCTTCTGAACAATCAATGAGTCACATATAAAATTTTAAAATGTTAAACAATATCTACAATCAAATGAAAATGTAAATACAATTTATTGGAATCTGGGATGCAGTCCTCAGGGGGGAAACTTATAGTGGTGAATTCACACATCACGAAAACAGAAGAAGCACAAATAAATAATGTAATGCTGCACCTCAAGCTTTGAGGAAAAGAAGAGTGGGTCAAACCCAAAACCCAAGGAAAGGAAGAAATTAGAAAGAGTGAATAAATTTATTATTGAAGGAATAAATAAATTGATAAACTCCTAGCCAACTTTATAAAAAAGGGGAAGGAAGTGATTCAAATTCCTGAAATAAGGAATGAAAAGGGTGAAATCATACAGAGCCTGTGGAAATTCACATGATCATCAATACCTACTTTGAAAATCTTGACTTACATAGTATGAAAAACACAGAATGCACAGAATCCCAAAAACATATGAATTACCAAATCTGAATCAAGAAG